GTCCCATTCTGAGTATATGAGGAGCCAATTGTCATTTTAAGGAGTTTCAATCAGCTGGTGTGTGCTTCTGCAGATCGTTGCTCCCAGAGCTTAAGTGGTTGAAGCTGGTTTATAATTTTGCCAGCATGGAGCTTTGGTGAGTGGATTCAATTTATTTGGTGGTGGATTTTCACTGTGTTTTTGGTCGCATTATAGAAGAGTTTAATATAAAGTATTGAAGAAAATTTATTGTTTCATGCACACTATTTTTATGAATAATATTATTTATATGGACTTTTTTGTTGGACAATAATTCATTTGTCTATTCACAGAATTATTTGTCACATTTATTTGCCTTGTTTGGTATCATCTGGTAGATTATTTATTTTATTTATACACCATTATTTATTGATTTAGCTGAGTTCACTCATTCAGAGATATATTAATTTGAGGAGCGCTGCCTTTAGTTTTTTTGTTGTTATAAAAGGGCAATATATTGTGTTTTTGTGTATTAATATTAAAAAAGTGTATTTTTTCCAAAACATTTGCTTTGAAAAATCACTGCACAAAATACTGTGTGGCATAAAAGATTTCAATACTCACCATTTTATTCTCTAGGGCCTCTGCTTTAAAAAAATATATAATGTTTGGGGGTTCAAAGTAATTTTCTAGCAAAAAAACTGGTTATTCATGTAAACAAAAAGTATCGGAAAAGTCTTGTTCTTCATGTGGTTAGAAGAGTGGGGGATGTGTGGCATAAGCTTCTAATGTTGGTCCTAAAATGCCAGGATAGTGGAAGCAACCCCCCAAATGACCCCTTTTTGGAAAGTAGACACTCCAAGGTATTTGTTAAGGGGCTTCATGAGTATTTTGAAGATCTTATTTGTTGCCACAAGTTTTTGGAAAATGAAGAAAGAAAACGAAAATGTATTTTTTTCTTTTTCAAAACCCTGTGACAAAATGATATCTGCAAAATACTCACAATGCATCTTATCAAATTCCTTGGTCTGTCTACTTTCCAAAAAGGGGTCAATTATGAGGGAGGGGGTGTTTGTAGTAGCCTGGCATTTTAGGACCTCTGTGATAGGTAGTGAGGAAGTGACATGAGTAAATATGCCCTTTGAAAGCCTGGAGGTGGTCATTGGATTTTGGGGGCCTGTATGTGGCATGGCTGACAAAAAGTCTCTCACATGTGGTATCCCCATACTTGGGAGAAGTAGCAGAATTTTTTTTTTGGGTGTTATTCCACATATACCCATGGCATGTGTGGGCAATATATCATTTTGTGACAACATTGTATACAAAAAAAATATCATTTTCCAAACATTTATGGCAAAAAATAAAAAACCTTCCATGGACTCAATATGCCTCTCAACAAATTCCTTTGGGTGTCTACTTTCTAAAAAGGGGTCATTTGAGGGGGGGGGGGGGGTTTGTTGTCCTGGCATTTTAGCACCTCAAAAAAGGCAGTCAGAAAGTAAAAGCTGACTAAATTCTAATATACTTGTGGCAAACTTGCTCATCCTTGTTGGAGCGGAGTCCCCCTTTACCCTCTCTTTTTCGTGTTCTGTCTGTTTATTTGAGGCATTCCTCAGCCTCATTCCTACCCTCCTCCCTTCCTGAGAGGCAAACGTTATCTCCTGGCAGATGGCGTGGAACAACCAGGAAGACATGAGAGTGGAGACAGGCCGTCTACTAAAGTGTAACTTTTGTCACCCAAAACAGCGTAAGCCCACACATTATCAAACTGACCAGAGTAAATGCACATTCCTCAGGTCAACTGTATGGTTCATATCATGGGATATGAAGCTGGTAGTTTAGTTTAGAGTCCCCCAATGACCACTCCCAAAACGTGTAGTCAGAGCCCCCCCCCCTCCCCTTGAGAGGGACTTTCAAGAGAGTTAGAGCTTGTCACACACACACAGAGATCTCCCAGCAACATCGTAACAAAAGGAGACTAAAGAACATTTCTGCTCTGCATCTTGGATTTGCAAACCCAGGCATATGGGCAAGTAACTTAACCCTGTAATCTTCTTCATAATTATCTCTTTGCTGTGTCTTTATATACATATATATATATATTTTTGTGACATCTCTTTGTAAATATTTTATTGCACCTGTTTTGACCCTGTTAGAAATAAATCTTTCTTTCTGAAAGTGTTAAACTGTTTCTAAGCGCTTACTTGCAATTCACGAATCCCTGCCTTTGAAGAGACGCTACTGTTTGTTATATCTTTGTATAGCAGGTCTGCGGGCCGTGCTATATAGATCAATATTTCAATCATTATAGTGTATATTTGATAACGGGAGTTTCCCAGTCTCCGACAAAAGTGGTGGTGGCAGTAGAAGGGTTAGTTGCGTAATTAACCCGACCCAGTAACAAGCGCATTCAGGCTGCAGGCACAGATTGTAGACCATTAGCTGGGCAATCGCTTTGTAGGGCGCAGCTGGGTGGGGCCTTGTTACGCGCGTCACACCGCGGTTTTGGATCGGCTGGCCCTTCGGTCACGAGTTTGGTGAGAAGGTCTGGGGTCTGACGTTAGTCGCGGCGGTGCGATTGTCACCTGTTGGTGGCGGCGACCGTGGGTCGTGACAATACTGTATATACAATAGTTTGTAGACACTATAATTTCACACAAACCAATTAATATACACATATTGGGGTTTTTTTTTTTTACCAAAGACATGTAACAGAATACATGTTGGCCTAAATGTATGAATAAATTTGAGTTTAGTGGATATTTTTTATAACAGAAAGTAGAAAAAAAATTGTTTGTTTTTTTTTTTCACAATTTTCTGGATTTTTTATATCACAAAGTATAAAAAACCCAGTGGTGATCAAATACCACCAAAATAAAGCTCTATTTGTGTGAAAAAAGGACATGCATTTAATTTGTGTAATGTGTTGCATGACTGTGCAATTACCTATTGAAACAGCACAGCTGCAAATAGAAAAGAAAATGACCTGGTTATGAAATCATACAAAACTGAAGTGGTTAATGAATTGACTTTTATGATTTATCTTATGTTTTTTCTGGTGTTTACCTCACATTTGATATTTTACTTTGATGAATTGATTCATATTATCTCATGTGATATTTCCAAAACATGCATTCCATTGATGTGCATAGGTTCAAAAAGAGGAAGGAGGTTTTTGTACAGCTCTGTATCACTGTGTGAGAGGGAGCTCTATGTACTGCTGACAGTAATATTTTCCTTCTTCATCTTCAGTTACTCCCTGTATTGTCATTGTGAATTGAGTTCCTGATCCAGATCCACTGAACCTATCTGGAACCCCGGATGCTCGTGTACTGGTGTGATATAAGAGGAGTTTAGGAGGTTGTCCTGCTTTCTTTTGGTACCAGGCTATTAAGTGAGCGCTTGCTCCAGACCAATAAAGATTTTTAGTGGATGTACAGTTGCAAGAAAAAGCATGTGAACCCCTTTGGATTACGTGGAGTTTTGCATGAATTGGGCATAAAATGTGCTCTGAACGTCATCTAAGTCACAACAATAGAAGAACACAGTCTGCTGAACATAATACTACACAAACATTAGATGTTGCCATGGTTTAATTGCACATAACATGTAAACATTCACAGTGCAGGGAGGAAAAAGTATGTGAACCTTTGGACTTAATAACTGGTTGACCCTCCTTCGGCAGCAATAACCTCAACCAAACGTTTCCTGTAGTTGCAGATCAGACCTGCACAACGATCTGGAGTAATTTTGGACCACTCCTCTTCACAAAACTGTTTCAGTGTAGCAATATTCTTGGGATGTTTGGTGTGAATCGCTCTCTTTAGTCATGCCACAGCATTTCAATCGGGTTGAGGTCAGGACTCTGACTGGGCCACTCCAGAAGGCGTATTTTGTGCTGTTGCAGCCATTGTTTTGTTGAATTACTTGTATGCTTTGGGTCATTGTCCTGTTGCATCACCCATCCTCTGCAGAGCTTCAGTTGGCGGACAGATGGTCGTACGTTTTCCTGCAAAATGTCTTGATACACTCTGGAATTCATTTTCCCATCAATGACAACAATCCATCCAGGCCCTGAGGCAGCAAAGCAGCCCCAAACCATGATGCTCCCTCCGCCATGTTTTACAGTGGGGATGAGGTTTTGATGTTGGTGTGCTGTGCCTTTTTTTCTCCACACATAGTGTTGTGTGTTCTTCCCAAACAACTCAATCTTGGTTTCATCTATCCACAGTATATTTTGCCAGTAGTGCTGTGGAACATCCAGGTGCTCTTTTGCAAACTTCAAACGTGCTGCAATATTCTTTTTGGACAGCAATGGCTTCCTCCGTGGTGTCCTCCCATGTACTCCATTCTTGTTTAATGTTTTCCTTATTGTAGATGTGTCAACAAAAATGTTAGCATGTGCCAGAGATTTCTGTAGGTCTTTAGCTGACACTCTGGGATTCTTCTTTACCTCATGCAGCATTCTGCGCTGTGCTCTTGCAGTCATTTTTACAGGACGACCATGCCTAGGGAGAGTAGCAACAGTGCTAAACTTTCTCCATTTGTAGACAGTCTGTCTTACCATGGACACATGAACATCAAGGCTTTTGGAGATACTTTTGTAACCCTTTCCAGCTTCATGCAAGTCAACAATTCTTGATCGTAGGTCTTCTGATAGCTCTTTTCTGCGAGGCATGGTCCACATCAGACAGTGCTTCTTGAAACCAGTAAACCCAAAACAGGTGTGTGTTTTTTAAGGGCAGGACAGCTGTCAGCAACACATCCAATATCATCACACTGATTGGAGTCAAGGTTGGCTCACTCCTGGCTCCAATTAGCTCTGGGAGAAGTCATTAAGCTAGGGCTTCACATACTTTTTCCTCCCTGCACTGTGAATGTTTACATGTTATGTGCAATTAAACCATGGCAACATCTAATGTTTGTGTAGTATTATGTTCAGCAGACTGTGTTCTTCTATTGTTGTGACTTAGATGACATTCAGAGCACATTTTATGCCCAATTCATGCTAAACTCCATGTAATCCCAAGGGGTTCACATACTTTTTCTTGCAACTGTACATGTGATGGTGATTGTCTGTCCCGGGGACACAGAGATAGAATCCGGAGTCTGAGTCATCACAGTCTCTCCACAGGATCCTGAGGATGGGAAGAGACATATTGATTATCAATAGAATTCACCATAGGATGCAACAAAATAGAGCTACAGTTTTCTGTACATACCATTTAAGCTGTATGTAAGGATCTCCCTATTCAATAATTGCATGCCAAAACATTCCTAAGAAATCTGCTAGAATTATCTGATGATAATTAACTTTTCTGTTCCTACTATTATATTACAGCTAATAACATAAACACAAAATATCCTCACACCTTGGATGTAGACATAAAAGACACAGAGTAGAGGCAGAGGAAGCATCTTGATGGGTCTGGTCTGTCACTCACACAGATCATTGACCTTCATGGTAAACTGTTTATATAACATGAAATCTATAGGGAAATAATCTCAGAGTTTCACTATGTAAAGCAGAAAATATTCAAATGTTACAGCATATTATATCTCAGTGCTCAGTAGAATGTGGAAAAGCAGCAGTGTGATGTCAGGGTAGATGCACCCAGCATATTGCATGCAGTTGTGCTTGCTATGTAGATTTGCTGTAAAATATTTTCCACCTTCGAAGGGAAGATAGAAAACCTGTACTTATCCCCCAACTACTTATCAGTATGGATTATTGATAATGAGAGTTTTAATTTCCCCATTACCTCTGAAAAAATCAGGAGATTTTACCAAAAAATGGCCATTTTGATGAAATACATGTTAATCCATGGGAAAGTCCAAGTAAAGGTGGAGCTTAGTGGTTTTAAGGGTGGAGTGAGAAATAAATGGCTTTGGAGAGTCCAGGAAGCTCCTTAGCCTATTCTTGTGCCAAAAAATCCCCTCATTAGTCTCAAAAATTAGCTTTTTTCAATAGACAATGAAAAACAAGTAAAGTCAAAAAGGTAAAGAAACAATACACGAATAACAATTAAATGCACAATAAACACAAACACCCAAATACAAATAAATCCTAGGGGTTTAGTTATCTATGATTTTGCCCAGTATTACCCAAAATGTTTTGGTGAACATTTACTCCGTGGGTTTGATCCGCTAAAGGTAAATAGGGTTTTTCACTTTTTTCAAAATCGCTTTTGACCTAAAGGGATGCTTTTTGGACGCCATGGACGTTTCTCAGTTTCCAGGCAGTAAGAACAGTAAAAATGCAGGCAGGGCACAGGACAAAGCACTCGGGACAAAATGTATGTGAAATGGTTTGATACAGTAATGTTATACTATGTGAATTTAGTGAATGTCACTTTTTGTCATTTTCAAATTTCCCGCCGTTCTGTCCCCCGTATGTCCCGACACTCGCAGGGAACGGAAACCAGATGACAGATGCCGGCATCCGTGTGATTACATTGCCGGGGGACATCGCAGGAGCGCAGGACAAGGTAAGCGATCGAGGGATCTCGGAGCAGCGCCGCATGGTAAACCTGAGTGTAGCTCGGGGTTACCGCTTGTGGTACTGAAACTTTACCCCGAGCTACACTCAGGAATACTGCCAGGGGGGTTAAGCCATTAAATTTTTTTTTCCCCTTTTATTACATACTGCCACTAGTGCAGTACAGCATCATCATATGATTGGTGTGGCGGTGATCAGGGACACCGACTGATAACAGTATGTAAACAAAATAGAAAAATTTACTTTTTTTACGCAATGTTTTAATTTTTTAGTTTTATAACTTTTTTTGTTTTACAGTGTCACTGTACTACTCTAGAAAGCTAGGGAGGAGGGCGTGATAAGGGTTTTTTTTTAACATTGTTATTCCTAATACAGTGAAGATCACTGTATAAGCAATACATTTAGATGTTACCGTTCATGACCAGCTTACTTTTGATTCTGATCTGTGATTGTCTAAGCTACTTGGTACAAGTAGCCAGGTACCATGTGATTGCTGTAGGCCAATCACAGATCACAACAGTAAGCAAGCTATTCATGAATGAAAAGCCATTCATGACAGGTAGTTTTATATTGTTAATACAAAAGGAATAACAGGCGCATGGTGTGGCAGTCCATGTATGCTTGATGAGTTCCAAATGGGCAGGGGTAAAGGTAGTCCAGTAGGCACTAAGGTGAGAAAAAGGAGAGAGAAGCGCCTCTAAGTGCAATAAGTCTTTTAATTCAAGTCTAAATGTAGAAACACTCACATGTGTGAAGTAATCATAAGCATAAAAACCGTGGTTAACAATAGTTAACGGTGGGGTGGTAACCCGGGTGAAGAGCCGTCATCTCTCTGCGATGTGGGGAGGTCAGCTCTCGGCTGGAACAGCGTGGTGGCTGGAGGGGGAACAGCGGTGAGGCCAGCCTTCATGCACGTCCTCCCTCAGAGCTGGATGGAACGCACGCTGGAACGTAGCGGCGGCGTGGCCATGATGACGTCAGATCCCAGGGTGCACTGCGACGCGTTTCGGAGCATGCACTGGCCGTGGAAGGCGGAAGTGCACTCTCCTTTTTCAAGCAGGGGGAGGTGGATGAACAGGGGTGAATATATAGGGAACGTGAGTCTAATTGATCAATTAACCAATTAACCAGTGATTGACCATTGCTGTCAGGTGAATAGTGTAAAGTCATGGATGTTAACTGGGGGGTAAAAGGAAACCAAATGGAAAAAAAGAGAGGATGTAATAAATAAGAAAACGGAAGACGAAAGAAAAAAAAAAAATTATGTTCTGGGAGATTAGTGGGGTAAAATGTTCACACTTGCAGCACTGGCACATCAATTATGTAACAGTAGTGAGCAGATATTTAGTGGTAATACAGCATGATTGCAAGATGATACAGCATGATTGCAAGATGATAAACATATTGGTAATAATACATGCAGATGACATTATAAAAAGTAAATTACATTGTAAAAAATTGTAAAAAATAGAATAAAATATAAATAATGAACAAAAGGTTATAAATAATAAACTAAAAATCGGATTTAAAAAAAAAAAAAATTCGATAAAAAATTCGATAAAAAAATTCGATTAAAAAATTTGATTAAAAATTTCGAATAAAAAAAAAAAAAATAAAAAAATAATAATTTTATAAAGAAAGGGGGGGGGGGGGGGGGGAAGTATCATTGTGAGTGTTGAGTGGCTGTGAATGGGAGATTGTAGTGTTTATAGTATAGTGTTAATGTCTAATTCCTCGTTGAGTCCGCCTGGGGACAATGTATCTAATGTAAATATCCAATAAGTTTCTTGTGAACAGAGTTTTTTGAAACGATCAGACTCAGAGAGATTGTTGTGTATGGATTCTAAGACTCATACTTGTAGGCCATCAGTGGATTTTTGGTGATATTCAAGGAAGTGGCGGGGGACGCTATGTTTGTCTTAACCATCTTCAATAAGACGTCTGTGCTCGCCAAACCTGGCGCGGAGGGGTCTGATGGTTCGTCCCACATATATAGGAGGGCCGCAAGGGCAGGATATACAATAGATCACATGATCAGTGGAGCAGTTGTAAAATTCTTTGAATGAATAGGTTTTTCCTTTTGTGGTGAAGTTTTTTTGTCCGTGTTTAACGAATTGGCAAGGTTTTGCATAGCGCTTTGTTGCATCTATACATGCCGACAATGGGTATGAGGCAGATTGTGTTGAGTGTGTTGGTGGGTGGGTTGTATTTGCTGGGGGCAATCTTGTTTTTAAGGTTGATGGCTTTGCGGTAGGTGTATTTGGTTTTTATCTAAGATGTCTATTAAATGTGGATCCTGTAGTAGTATCGGCCAATGTCTATTGATGATAGACTCCATTTTGTGAAAGTTGTTGTGGAATTTGGTTATAAATCTGACCTGGTTGGGAGGCTGTGTGTTATTGTGTGTTTGGGGTCTACCCTTGTGGTAGAAGGAGTGGGCCTCATCTACTAGCTTGTGTGGGTAACCTTTGTCTAGGAATTTCTTTATTAGAATGTCACTCTGGAGATTGTAATCTGAATCTGTGGTGCAGTTTTGTCTGAGACGACAGAAATTGTCCTTTAGGTATATTTTGGATCCATTTGGGGTGGTGGCAGCTGTTGAAGTGGAGGTATGAGTTGCCAGATACGGGTTTGAAGTGGTTTTTTGTTAATATTTGGAGATTGTCATGGTATAATTCGAGATCTAGGAATACAAGAGTATGTTTGTGGTGAGTGGAGGTGAAGGACAGTCCAAAAGGATTTGAATTGCAATGGGTTACGAACCGGTCTACGTGTGATATTGGTCCATCCCAGATGACGATAATGTCATCTATGTAACGGCCGTAAAAGATGATGTGGGCGGCAAAGGGGTTGTTGTGCCATATGTGTTTGTCCTCCCAGAAACTCATAGTCAAGTTGGCATATGAGGGTGCAAAGTGGGCTCCCATGGCTGTACCTTGAGTTTGTAAGTAGAAATCGTGGTTGAATGTGAAGTAATTGTGTTTGAGGCAAAATGAGGTGGCGTCTACTATAAAGGAAGATTGTTTGGGGTTGAGTGATGGATCCAAGGATAGATAATGCTGGATGGCGGTGATGCCTACATCATGGGGTATCGAGGTGTATAGGGAGAAGACATCTAACGAGACCCAACAATAGTCGGGTTCCCAGGAGTATGTTTGGAGTAATTCTAGCAAGTGTCCGCTGTCCCGGATATATGAGTGTTGAGCCTGTGCAAGGGGTTGTAGGAAGTGGTCGATATATTGGGAGAAACCCGCTGGTAATGCTCCCTGTGGCCGCTACGATTGGTCTTCCTGGTGGATTATTTGGATTTTGTGTACTTTGGGGAGAAAGTAAAAATACGGGGTGTTGTAGAAGTCTTTAGATAGAAAAGAGGCTTCCTGCTTGGTGATGACACCATCAAGTAAGGCTGTGTTCGTTAGTAGTAGTGCGTCCTGTTTGAATTCGGGTAGTGGGTCTTTAGTTAATTTGGTATACGTGGATGTGTCTGAGAGGAGTCTGAGGGCTTCGTCTATGTAGTCAGTGGTATTAAGAAGTACAATGCCGCCGCCTTTATCGGCGGGCTTGATAATAATGTCCTTATTGTTTGATAAAGTGGTAATGGATTTTTTTACAGTGTTTG